CTCCTGGTCAGACCCTGTAACTCAGTGAAAGGGTGGATTCAGAGTAGAAAAATATGCAAGAGGGGGTCACTCCATTGGCTGGAAGTTGGAGGGGATTTTGCGGGGAGTTGGAGGGAAGTTGGATGCCATTCGGCTGGCGTTTGACTGGGAAGGGCCATTTTGAATGGCTGCTACTATATATGCTCTCCCTGCCTCATATCTTAATAAAAAACAACATAAGTTACCATATCTGTGCGAATAACACAGCTGTACATTATGGTGTCACTTGTTGACCATGAACCCATTCAAGTGCTAATCCATAGATGAGCCAACATTTCTTTCTGTTGAATCACAACAAAATTGATGTCGTTTTTGGACCGAAAGAGGAACTTTTAAAAGTTAGCACACATATTCAGTTGAAATACAGCAAGAAATCACCAATAAGACTTGAAATCTGGATGTAGTGATGGACTCAGACATGGACCCTCAGAGGCACAAAAAGACAGGATTAAAGAACCAATGTCTCAACAGGACCTTGAAAAACAAATTCATGCATTCATCTTTAGTAGAAGTGATCCCACTTTGGCCTAAAAAGTCGATCGAACAACGGAGCTGGAGTTGATCCAGAATGCAGCTGCCAGCATCCTAACCAAAACAAAGAAAATGGAGCACATCCCAGATTTATTTTTTTTTTATTCTTACGCTGGCATCTATGGAGGACCAACTCTGCCATATTTAAAAATCAATACAGAAATAAATAAATGCTCAATAAATAAATAAGCATACAATTAATTGCCAACAAAAATACAATAAACAAATAAATGTTAGTAGAAATTAAACTATACAGTGAGACATAAATGTATATAACTTTTAATTAGCTTCTTTATTTATTTGCCTTTGTAATATTTACCTTATTTATTTTTTGTCCTTTATAGTCTTCAACTTTATTTTTTAATTACTTATATTTTTAAGTATTTATTTATGTTCATGTTATAATATTTTTGTCTGTTTTATTCTTCCTTTGTATTTTTTTACCTTGGTTATTTCTTCGCTGCTGTTTATTTCTGTCTGCCCTTTTTACATTTCTGCCTGTTGTATTTACATTTCTGTATGCATTTCTGTGTCATTATGCAAATGAGGAGAGGGTGCGTCCTAGAGAGTCAACTTCTGCTCATTGGTTGGCGGTCCATCTTCCTAACTCACAGATCTCAGAGTACTAAGTGTAATCTAAGTTCTCTTTTCTGTTGCTGTTGTTCAATAAAAGTATGTTTTAAGATTATTTGAGGCGAGAACCTTATACTTTTAAGCATCACCATATGGCCCATTCACAGATTCAAAGCGTAATTTAAAAGAAAATTTTTCGAACTTGAGAGGACCGCAGCAACCAGGGAAGATCCGAACCTCACGGCAGCCAGGTATAACCGCAGCCCGTCTGCAGCGGCCCTCTCTCGGCATAGCCGTGTGTGAAGCGTGTTGGTTAGCATTTTACTACATCGGTCGAATCTACAGGAGGAGAGTCTGATGTCGAGTCTGAAGTCATTAAAACGCGAGTAGGGACTTTTTTGCCAAATACAACGGCAAATAAAAAGAGAAGCTAATTAAAAGAGTTATATACATTTATGTCTCACTGTATAATTTAATTTCTACTTACATTTATTTGTTTATTGTATTTTTGTTGGCAATTAATTGTATGTTTATTTATTTATTGAGCATTTATTTATTTCTGTATTTATTTTTAATCTTGTATCTCAGAAAAAAGACATTACAATGATTTTATTAGTCTATAAATCACTTAATCGCCTAGCAACAAAATACATTAAAAAGTTTTTGTCAGTATATTAGCCACCCAGACCTTTCAAGTCTTTTACCTTGTCTGTATTCTGCATACTTAAAAACAGAACCAAGTATGGAGAAGCCTCTTTTAGTTCTTTTGCTGCACTGATCATGAAGAAGCTCCCAGAAAACTTTCGAAGTGGTAAAACTGTAAGTTGCTTTAAATCAAGATTAAAAATGTATTTTATAGAGTGGTCTTTGATTGTGCTATCTAAATATTATTAGTTATGTTTTCAGTCCGACTTTCCTTTTTTCTTATTTTCAATTATTCACTCATATTCTAATAAATTATTTGTGTTTCCTTTATGCCACTAAAATGTTATTTCCTTTTTTCTGTCTTTTTCTTGTCATGCACTTTAAATTGTGCTGAAATACGTATGTTATATAAATAAACTTGGTTTGCCCAAAGAGAAATATATTTTGTTAAGTATCTACTTTTTAAAGCAGATGCTAGCTTTGACATTGTTAGAACCTAATGGTTAGTCTTATGGGATGCATGGTTGTGCAGTTTGTAGCACTGTTGCCTTGCAGCACAAAGGTTCTGAGTACGATTCCTGTGTCTCTGCATTGCCCTGCAATATATTGGGACATGTCCAAGATGGATAGTTAGCTGTATAATGTATTGCTTACAACCCCTCACCCTTTTAATGTTTCTATTAGGTACACAAATAATAAAATACAAATTAATTAAAGGTCAAAAAAGGTTTATTTAACACTTTTGTCATTGACTTAAATCTTTGGAAGCCAACTCCATAAAGCAGCCAGTCGACAACTTAAGAACTACTTCCTTTCTCCCTCATAAATGATGTGAATATCTGAGAACTTAACTTTGTATTTTATTTAAAGCTTTCAAAATATATGCAATTTACATAACCAATGTTATAACATACCTCTAATTATATTATTTATATCTTAAATTGATTGTCTTAATAACAGGTAGATTTAATTTTAGAAAGTGTCTGGTGAGAGTTACTCATGTGAAAAGAAAAAAAATGCATATTTTGGGTTCTTTTACACATTATTCAAAGTGCTGCCAGTAGGTGTGGAGGGTTCTGCAGGTGTTCGGATAAAAATTCTCCATGGGGATTGAGCTTTAATCTCAATCCTCAACATCACCCCATGAAACATGCATGCAATCAACAGGGTCACAGCTCCACTGCCAATTTCTAGCCAGACTCATCCATCACAAGGAAACTAGATCTGCAAGGGGCCTCCATTTCTGGTTTGGTGATGACCAACACACCCGCACAGTATGCTCCATCAGCTGCATGCTAACACTAACAAGAGCAGCAATATGATACAAGATAAGCTTTCTCCTAAGAGCTCCTGGGCTGATTTCACTCCTTTCTCTTTCATAGTTTTGGCTCGATTTTTGGAACCCCCTGATTTCATGCTCCAATGAGGCGCTGACTGAAATGTCAGCAGCTGTAACTTTAATGTGATATGACATAGAAATGGGCTGTCTGAGTTTAAAAATCTGCTCATAATCTTTTTTTTTTATTTTTTAGATGCAAATATTCACTTAATCCTACTCCATTCTTTAACTATTAAATCTACGATGATGATAATCAGTTTTGGGAACTAGATAAGTTAGTTTAACCATTGCATGCACCTGCAGGCTAAATATCCTTAGGAAAGGTAACAACAAATAATGAGTCAGGTCAGGCAACTCAATCTAACATCATTGAATGATGTAAGATAGAGTTTGTGCTTTTGATTTTGACTTAGATGCCTAAGTTCAAGTTTTCCTACTTGCAGCTCAGTGGTTGGAGAGGGTGTTTAGTGTTGTCTTGTGTTTCCTGGCTCTTCTCCACTGAGCTCAGCCTGTTCCCATTTTGGCTCTGGAGCTAGTTTAAAGTTCCGTAGTTTTCTTTATGTCATGTCCTGTTTTCTGCCCCTTAAGTGTTAAGCTTGCCTGTTTCTGTCTGAGCGTGTCTGCCTGAGTTGTCTGCTGGGCTCATAGAACCCTGAACCTGCCTGATCGCGCTGTGGATTCCTGGAACCCTGGATCTGTCTGTTCGTGTTCGGATAGGAACCCCTGGCTGGGTTATGGACTCCTGGAACCGTCCTGTTCTGAGTTGTTTGCCTGACCTGGCTCTGACTCCTGCCTTTTCATCAGAGGCTGCTGCATCTGGGATGCTCTTGGCAGCTCCTTGCTGGATCCCGCCTTACTCAGAGAGGATGGAGTGAACTGTTAAACCTGGTAAGTGACTCACTTGGACCTTCCGCAAGATTATCGTGGTCACTTGCTGTATCTGTGTTTCTCCCTATCCAGAGTTTCAGTGATGGGCAGTCCCCCCGCCTCCCACTGTAGCAGCTTCAGATCCGCAGAGCAACGTTTTGCTTTCTGTTCTTTTTATTTTCATTAAACATTTTGACACTTCCCACTGTCTGTCTCACTTGAAAACTGGGTCCTACATTCTGGGTTTCCTGACAAATAATGGAAGTAGATGAACGTCTTTTTAGTACAGCAGGCACCTTTGTTAGGTAAGGCAAGACAAGGCAAGGCAAGGCAAGGGAAGGCAAGGCAAATTTATTTGTATTGCACCATTCAGCACAAAGACAATGCAAAGTGCTTTACATGATTAAAATATGGGAAATAAAACGGAATAAAAGCAATTAGGAAAAAATAAAATGAAATAAAAAATGCAGAAACAAAAAAGAACATTAAAAAGAGGTTGACTAAAAAAAATTATAAGTTGAACTAATGATGTTTCATTTGGACTGTTTAACTAGAACAGTCGAAGGCAATCCTAAACAAATGAGTTTTTAGTCTTGACTTAAAGGAACTCAGGCTTTCCGCACTTTTACAGTTTTCTGGAAGTTTGTTCCAGATAAGTGGAGCATAGGAACTAAATGCTGCTTCTCCATGTTTAGTTCTGGTTCTAGGTATGCAGAGCAGGATGGAGCCAGAAGACCTGAGTGGTCTGGAGGGTTGATACACTGATAGCAAGTCTGTGATGTATTTAGGTGCTAAGCCATTCAGAGATGTATAGACTAACAGAAGCATTTTAAAGTCTATTCTCTGAGATACAAGGGGCCAGTGTAAGGACTTTAGAACTGGGGTGATGTGCTCTACTTTCTTAGTCTTAGTGAGGACACAGGCAGCAGCGTTCTGGATCAGCAGCAGCTGTCTGATCCACTTTTTAGGCAGACCTGTGAAAAAACTGTTGCAGTAATCAATTCGACAACAAATAAAGTGCTGCCAGTAGGCGTGGAGGGTTGGATTAGTTTTTAATTAGGTCTTACTTGAAATCTCTTTCTGTGACTGGTTTGATCTCATCTAGAAATGCAACACAAAAATGAATCGTTTATTACTCAGACATAAAGCTTTAGTGAAATAGGAAATCTATTCAATATGGTGGCTTGTAAACCTTTTTCCAGCAAACAGTAGATTTGGTATTCCTTTGCAGCAGCAGTCAGAGGTACTCCTTGCAAGCACAGTCGTTCCCATCCTTTCCCATTCCACTGCCTCCCAAACAGTGTTAACTTCTGGCCGGATACTTTCTTTTGGCAAACTCGCAGACAATGCTACAAAATATGTAAAGAATTCAAACGTTATTACTTACTGTGTTTGCTCAAGAATCTTAAATAATATATTTTTAACACAAAATATATTTCCACTGAAAATCAAACTGTTGATGATAAAAACAGAAAACAATAAATAAAATAAACCTGTCTCAAATGTGTTTTCAGTGGGAGGAGTTGGCTTAATGTCTCTCCGTGCTTCAGGCATGTCATTGTGCTGTGTGTTTTGTTTTAAGTACCTTTAAAGTTAAAAGATGTCAAACTATTAAAAGTAAGCAGTTGCAAAAGAAATTGGGCATTTAATTACCCTGTCAGTCAAGGTCTGACAGTCCTTTTCTTACACAATTAGACATAGGAAGAGCCCCAAAGTTAAATTTTAAATCCTCTAAGATTGGCATCTTAGTATGATATTAGTACTAATACAGAGAGTTCTATTTTATAATAGTTTCCTAAAAAAGAATAAATTCTATTTAAGAATAAAAGCTTTTTAAAGCTTTTTTTCCTTTAATTTCCTGCACTAGAAGCCTGTGGCAGGCCCCACTATGAAATATACTATATTAAGAAGTTTTGACTCTTGAAATAATATTATTTCTAAAGTGGTTCAAGTCTCAAACTTTAATTAAACACTTCCTTTCACCTTCTATCTATTGCAGCAAAAGAACACAACATATTGACGCATGCTTGCAGGGTTGACTTTTAGCACTAGAATTGCTGCTGATGCTGCTAAACCTAAAAACAAGATTAAACTCTTCCTCCAGCTCTAGTTTTATTATCAATTCTCCAAGACCTTTAAATAATGATGTATGTGTTCATCAAACCATTATGCTAAGCAGTCTCACTGTTCTTGATTGGACACTGCACACGATTAATGAAAATGGAAGCTAACTAAGGCTACATCTTCCCCTAAATTCTGACCAGAGTGTTTAGATGTGATTTGGGACATTACATGTACTTCATGTTAATGAAATTTAACCTTTATTGAACAATATATTTACAAACTAATATGCATGATTGCAATTTAGATCATTTTAATGGTGAATATTTAAAACCCTCTAAAATTCCTTTTTATAGTGCACTCTTCTGGTTTAATTGCTTTCTTCCTCGTCTTGCAGTGTGTGATTCAGTTTCCTCTTTCCCCTCTATCAAGCCACCTTTGACAGCTTTATTCACCTTGTCGATTACCCCCATTTTAAATTTAAGCCATCCATGCTTAATGTTTATTCTTTGTCAGAGAACTCCCTGTGACAGACCAATAAAATAAGATTTACTGCTCACTGAAAGCCACAGTGAGGATTATCACAGAATTCCAGCACAGCTTCTTTTGCTTCACTCGCCTATCCTTGCACCGTAAGATGCACCAATTTATGGCGGATGTGCTTACTCTGCAAAGGTAATACTTTTCAATATGCCTATTAATCCTCTTCTCCAAGGCATGGGAAGCAGCCAGGTCCTTAAATCAGTAACAACACCAGACTCTCTACTGCAGGAAGAGGGGCTGCTCTATCCAGCGCCCCTAGCTGACCCTCTTTAAATAGGATGTCTGGATGTGTTATGAGGGCTATTGTTTCCTATAAACATCTAGCATTGGGGCAATAACAATCGCATCAAGCCAAATGAAGTTATCTGAGAATGGGATTAAACTCAGCATGACCCCACTGTCTGCTCGGCTCACAGGCCCACCATTAATAATGCCTAATCTAATCAAGGAGCTAAGATGGATGGATGGCAGGCCTGTGCATGTGTCTGCGTGTTACTGTGTTTTCTGGGTGTTTGTGAGAGAAACCTGATTACTGCAAGCATCTTAATATGTTTATATGCATCTTTTAATGTGTACAATTATTGCACTTTGTTGAATGTATCTTTTTTTCTCTCTATTTTGGTGCTCTTTCTGTTTCTGTGTGTGTGTGTGAGTTTGCTAATGTACTTGCATTTTGCAGAGGATCTGCGCCAGGTCCTGTGCCAGAGGAGTGTTCTGATATATGTCTGATGCAGCGGGTTAATGAGCTCAAAGAGAAAACAAAGCAGAAGAAAAAAGTAAAGCTGAGTGTGTTGGAGAGAGAAGGGCTGGGGGGTGGGGGAAGAGCAGCAATCAAAAAGGAATAAGGAGCAAAAATGACGAGAGCGGAAACAGAGGTAGATAAGGAGGAAGAACAGACAAAGGAGAGTGGAAGATGAGAAAGCAGTGGCCATCGCATGGGTTCCTCCTCTGCTATCTCTTCTTGGCAGAGGCATGCCTTTGTAACTGATAGACAAACAGCCTTGCTATGACTGATAACGCCTGGTTACAGATGGGCAGACGAAATTAAGAAGGGCTGAAGGGGAGCTCAGTATAACAAGGAAAGAAAAGAGAAAGAATAAAGGAAAGATATAAGATTGGAGTACATGGAAATGTGGGATTGGAGGGAATATCAGGAGGTGAAAGGAGATACGAGATAAAACAATTGAAAAAATAATGTTGAAAGATTGAAAACAAAGTAGAGAAAGTCTAGCCTTCCTTTTTCATAAGCTTCTTCATGTCAAACTACAATTAAATAAATCACAGAAGGTTAAATATTTTGGTAAGAGATATTTATTTGGAGCGATAAGGTAAAGTAATTCTCTTTGCCAGTACATCATATTTGTTATATTTTTTTGTTCATTTCAATTAAATAGCAAATTTATGTTGTTTTCTTCTTTCCCCTTAGTTTATTATTCTCTCTATGACACCCTAAAATATGTTTTTTGAAGTCTTCTCACGGGAAGTAAGTCTTGCTCGAATCTCGTTGAACTTGACAATAAATCAGTGAAGTTAGCTTAGTGAAGATTGGGATTATGGCAAAAATAACATCTCAAAGAATGCATGCTTGTATTACTTAAATTAATAAAATGTCAAAACAGCAATAAAAACATACAAAAAGCTTATCTGCTATTTTATGAGGGAGATTATTTCTGAAATATCCCAAAAAAGGTTTGCCCATTTAATGAGGACGAAGAAATATATTACTTTTGAACTAACATTTAACAATGGTAGGCAATAATAGTTTTAAATTGATAGATTGTTTTTCTCAAATCCTATAACTTAACTCCTTTATTGTGGCATGTTAGGCCACTTAGAAGAATTTGTTATATTTTGTTGGAGTAATTTTGGAAGGCCAACTATTCCTGGGAAGGTTCACTACAGTTCAGTGTTACACATATAAACACATCTGTCTTCTTTTCGTTTAACTAATAACACACTTTAAGAGGATTTTCACTAACTAACTCTGATTTTTTTTCACTACTAATATATTTATTGCATTTTGCTCATCGGCAGTGTTAATTTTCCTTCATTTTACGTAATGCATTTTTTTTTACATTTTATGGATTTATATGCAAAAGAAAATTTTGAAAATTAAAATTAACTTTAAAGGTAAAGCTCACATCGCACTATGAAAAATTTTTATAAAATTACATTTCGAGTTGTTAAAAAAGACAGTCCAGTCTTCCAACTACTTAGGCATGTATTGGTCATGACATAAAGAATCAAATAATCCAGGCAATGAGCTTACCTTGCTGTTGTCGGTGCTGCACTCAGTCTCTTTTTTTACCCTGCTCCTTCCCCTCCCTGACATAAACAACTCTAATTTACGACCAATAATATCCTGATTCAATCACCTGATTGATTTTGGACTTGTGTCCCACTAATAAATCTCAGCTCTTCTTCTCTTATTGAGTCCTCCATCAGATCTCCACACTATATGCCTCACCCACCCACATCAACCGCACACATACACACTTATATATAGTCTAATGGTATTAGAAAATCAAAGTCTCTCATTTTGTCTCAGTACATCCGCAGGGCCCAGTAATAGATCTGGCTGTACTTATATCCGGAGAAGGGAGGAGGAGAAGGGGGGTAAAAGGAAGAAGAGGAGCAATGTAAGCATGGCAGAGTGTAGAATCAGGGGAAGAAGAGTGAACAGAGAGCAGATTCAGAGCGTTAATAAGGTTGTATAGGGCCTAATATCCGTGGACTCAGGCCGAATTCACAGAATTAGGACGTCTTTATCTGGTCAGCAGCAGAGCAACGGTAAATAGTAAACCACAGCATGTGGTGCTCATAAAATTTTCTGCACTAAGATAAGCCCTAATCTGCTGTGACTGTCAGAGTGAGTCACTGCAAATGGGACCACCAGCTAAAAAACTCCAACAGAAGTAAAAATATGTGCCTTGGTTAAACCGGGATAAAGGAATGTAGCGTGCGGCGTGACGTAAACTGCAATATGTCCCTAAGAGTCCTCATCCTACAGAATGAGCAATTCTTATTGCTGCTCACATCTTCTTTTGTTGCAGCAGGCAAGCCTTTTTATGAAGCAGTCATTAAGACTATCTTGTTAGGATTTTTGGCATAAGAATAGGACCCAATATAAAGTTTCGTCTTTATGTATTGTATAACTTAACAATGACTTTTTTTTTGTGTGGAATTAATGGATTATGGGATAATTACGTAACGCACAGTGACATTGCCAATGCCTCTCTGCATTCAAAAAAGAGGGAACAAAGTGCTTCTGACAATTTTTTGGTTCAAAGGCAATAGGGGTAACTGGGATATGATTTAAAGTCTAAGTTTATTTTCACCAGTCACACCCAGGTCAGGGTTAACAATATAACCGGTCTGACCTTATAAGGCTGGCTAAAATAGTTTAGTAGGGATTTATAGGAGTCATCACCCTGATATCTCATTTCTTTCATGTTATAATGTATGTGCTGGTGTTAAGCTTCAGTTAAAACTGCTATTTGGTCAAAAGAGAAGAAAGTTACAGAGCAGTGAACATCATACCATTCTTACAACTTGTGCTTAACTGTATACTAGGCTGTAGGTTGACAGTTCAATTGATGGAAAGCAGTGACAATATTATGATTTTGTTGAAAATAACATTTAACAATTGTCTGAAAACAGAACCAATGTCCTGCTGTGGAAAGCAGTTAAATTAAACCCAAGCGCAATGATATGTAGATGATCGTCTAATTTGGATATAAACAGC